TTAAAGCAAGAAAACAATTCACAATGTTTTCATCCTAAGATAATCACTGTTAAAAACTTGCAGAGGTTTGCATGCTCATGGAATATTGACCAGAAGTGGTCACTAGAGATCTCTCTGGGTCAGTGAGGGAAGCTGAACCCTGCAGGGTCTCTAAGAGAACTAGGCAGTTCTGCCTTTGCTTGCTGAAAAAGCTAAAGAAGTATGTGGAGTCTCTTTCCCAAGGCCATTGGTCCATGTTGGCAGAGGCTTTGAGTCCCAATTGTCACAGAAGACGGCTCAAGGGATTTAGATCAGATGAAAGAGGAACACAAGACCTTTATCTGAGTATAAGCAAGGAGGAAGAAAGCTTGGATGTTTTAGGAAAAGGTAAAATATATGAGTAACACACCCACTAGAGAATGTTAGCAAACACATTTTAATGGGAATACCAAGCTCATAAAAATCTTTTCCAGAAAATAGAAGAAACGCTTCCCTGCTCATTTGATGAGGCCATTATTACCTTGATAACAAAACCAGATAGATTGTACATTTAAAAAAAAACTACAGACCAATATGTCTCATGAGTCTAAATGCAAGAATCCTGAGCAAAATTTGGCATATAGAATTTCAAACGTGTAAAGTTATATACCATGACTAAGAAGGGTTTATTCCAGGCATGCAAAGCTGTTTCAACATTTGAAAAACAATCACTGTAATCCATCACATTAACAAATTAAAGAAGAAAAATTGCATGAGCATATCAAGTGATGCAGAAAAGCCATTTGACAATCAAACACCCATTCCTGATGCAGACTCACAGCAAACTAGAAATAGGAGGCAACGTCTTCAATTTGATGAAGAACATTTACAAAAAACCCTGTAGCTATCATTATACTTAGTGGTGAAAAACTGATTTTTTTTTTCGTAAGGTAAGGACTGAGGCAGGATGTCCCTACTCACAACTCTTATTCAACATAGTACTAGAAATTGTAGGAGAGAGAGGGACAGGAAGAAAGGAATGGAATGGAAGGGACAGAAGGAGAAAGGGAAGGGAAGGGAAGGGAAGGGAAGGGAAGGGAAGGGAAGGGAAGGAAAGGAACTTTAAAAGGAAGAAAAAGAACTTCCCTTATTTGCAGATGTGATTGTCTACATAGAAAATCCCAAAGAATCTACTTAAAAAAAAAAAAACCCTCTGGGTTAATAAGCATGTTCAGCAAGGATACAAAATCAACATTAAAAAATCAATTATGGGTGACCCATGGTGGATGTTTTGAGGGCAGCTGACCCGCAGCCTGCGCATCCCGGACCGCCTCCCCTAGAAGCCTGAGCCAGCTGTGTAGCTTTCTCCCTTTGTCTCATAACCATGTCCACCAACGAGAATGCTAATTCACCAACTGCCCGCCTTAACAGATTCAAGAACAAGGGGAAAGACAGTACAGAAATGAGGTGGCGTCAAATAGAAGTTAATGTGGAGCTGAGGAAAGTTAAGAAGGATGACCAGATGCTGAAAAGGAGAAACATAAGCTCATTTCCCGATGATGCTACCTCTCCACTGCAGGAAAACTGCAACAACCAGGGCACTATAAATTGGTCTGTTGATGACATTGTCAAAGGCATAAATAGCAACAATTTGGAAAGCCAGCTCCAGGCTACTCAAACTGCTAGGAAACTGCCTTCTCAGGAAAAGCAGCACCCCCATAGACAACATAATCTGGACTGGTTTGATTCCAAAATTTGTGTCCTTCTTGGGCAGAACAGACTGTAGTCCCATTCAGTTTGAATCTGCTTGGGCTCTCACTAACGTTGCTTCTGGGACATCAGAACAGACCAAGGCTGTGGTAGATGGAGGTGCTAGCCCAGCATTCATTTCTCTGTTGGCATCTTCCCATGCCCACATCAGTGAACAAGCTGTATGGGCTCTAGGAAACATTGAAGGTGACGGTTCAGTTTTTCGAGACTTGGTTATCAAGTACAGTGCAGCTGATCCGCTTTTGGCTCTCCTTGTGGTTCCTGATATGTCATCGTTAGCATGTGGCTACTTACGTAACCTTACTTGGACACTTTCAAACCTTTGTCACAACAAGAATCCTGCACCCCCGTTAGATGCTGTCGAGCAGATTCTTCCTACCTTAGTTCTTTACCTATCTACCTTAGCAGATACTTTCTACCTTCCTACCTTCCTAATTCTCCTGCATCATGATGATCCAGAAGTCTTGCCAGATACCTGGGCCATTTCCTACCTTACTGATGGTCCAAATGAATGGACTGAAATGGTTGTGAAAACAGGAATTGTGCCCCAGCTTGTGAAGCTTCTAGGAGCTACTGAATTGCCCATTGTGACTTCTGCACTAAGAGCCATAGGAAATATTGTCACTGGGACAGATGAACAGACTCAGGTTGAATAGATGCAGGAGCACTTGCTATCTTTCCCAGCCTGCTAATGAACCCCAAAACTAATATTCAGAAGGAAGCCACGTGGACAACATCAAACATCACAGCTGGCTGCCACGACCAGATACAGCAAGTTGTGAATCATGGGTTAGTCCCATTCTTCATTGGGGTTTTCTCTAAGGCAGACTTTAAGACACAAAAGGAAGCTGTCTGGGCTGTGACCAACTATACAAGTGGTGGGACAGTTGAACAGATTGTATACCTTGTTCATTGTGGCATAAATAGAACCATTGATGAACCTCTTAACTGCAAAGGATACCAAAATTATTCTGGTTATTCTGGATGCTGTTTCAAACATCATTTAGGCTGCTGAGAAACTAGGTGAAACTGAGAAACTTAGTATAATGATTGAAGAATGTGAAGATTTGGACAAAATCGAGGCTCTACAAAACCATGAAAATGAGTCTGTACACAAAGCTTCATTAAACTTGATTGAGAAGTATTTCTCTGTAGGGGAAGAGGAAGATCAAAACGTTGTCCAGAAACTACCTCTGAAGGCTATACGTTCCAGGTTCAGGATGGCACTCCTGGGACCTTTAACTTTTAGATTATACAGCTTAGGCAGAAAGTTGTTTGTTGTGTACTCTGGTAGAAGTTTATCTTACTGTTTCTCTACTAAGAACTCTTTTCAAATGTGTTTTTTTTTTAATTGTAGCACTTTTTACAACAAAAGTCTACTTGACCAGTTCCAAACTGTACAAACTGTATGAAGCTCCACCTCTCAGTGGGTTTCTTATTTCTATGTGGAATCTCCTATCTTGCAGTGTCCTGTAAATAAAGATTAAATTCCACACTTTTCTTTTAAAAAATCAGTTATGTTTCTATATACTAAATACACATGTGACCAAGTACATTATCACCCCTCAAAAAAGAAAAATAGGTATAAATCTCCTATTATATGTGTAAGATCTATATAAAGAAAGCTATAAAACTGATTAAAGCAATCAGTTTTAAATCAAAGAAGAACTAAACAAATAAAGATACATCCCATATTCATGGATGGGAGGACTCAATATTGTCAGGATACCCATTCTGCCCAACTTCATCTAAGGATTAAATGCAATCCCAATCAATGTAAGAACAAAGTATTTGATGGATATTGACAAACTGATTCTAAAGTTCATATGGAGAATTTAAAGATCCAGAATAGCCAACTCAATGTTGGAGAAGAACAAAGTCAGAGAACAAGACTTACTAGAAAGCTACAGTAATTGAAACAGTGGCATTGATGAAAGAATCGACACACAGATCAATGCAACAGAATAGAAAGTCCAGAAATACACACACATAAATATAGCCAACTGATCTTTGGGATAGGAGCAACAGAGTCTTTTCAACAGAGTTGCTGGAGCAATTGGACATCCTGACATCCACGTGCAAAAAAAAAAAAATTGATTCTAGACACAGACCTAACAACTTTCATAAAAATAACTCAAATGTAAAACACAAAACTATAAAATTCCTTCAAAATATCATAGAAGAAAATCTAGATGACCTTTGATATGGAAATGACTTTTTTATAAATAGACTTCATATTTTAAAACTGTTTTAGGTTCACACCAGAATGGAGCAGAAGGTGCAAAGATTTCCCATACCACTCCCTGTCCCCACACATCAGTCTCTCCCCTTACCAATATCCTCCACCAGAGTGGTACATTTATTACAAATGATGAACCTACACTAGTATGTCATTAACACCCAAAGTCCATAATTCACATTCTGTTTTACCCTTGGTATTGTATAGTCTATGGGGTTGGACAAATGTATAGTGATATCCACTTTTATAGCATTATACAGAGTAGCTTCACTGCCCTAAAAATCCTCTGTATTCTGCTTATTTATCTCTTTCCACCTAACACTGGCAATAGCTGATATATTCCCGGTATCCGTAGTCTTGCCTTTCCCAGAATATCATATTCTGGGAATATGATATCTGCAGTATGCAGGTGTCTCCTTTAGACTAAGTTTCTTCCATATCTTTTCAGGGCTTACTAGCTCATTTCTTTTAGCACTGGATAATATTCCACTGTCTGAATGTACCACAATTTCTATATCCATTCACCTACTGAAGGTCATCTTGGTTGCTTTCAAGCTTGGCAATTATAACTGAAGCTGGTATAAACTATGAGGAGAAATATGTTCCAGGCCTCTCTCCTAGCTTCTGGTAGCCTCAGACCATCCTCAGATTGTACACAGCATTCCCCCTGTGTCTTCACATCATCTTCCCTCTGTGTATGACAGCTAAGCTGAGCTGTGCCTGAACTCCTGGTCCACAGAACTATGAAATAATATGTGTTTTCTTAAACTATTAAGTTTGCAGTAATTTGTTATGCAGCAAGTTCCCCTGTTTATACAGTATCTACTATGCTCCAGGCCATGGAGTCCCCTTCCCCTCACCCCCTATGACAACCCAGTTTGTAATTTTCATACCTTCACACCAGTACATGTTGCTAAAAGAGTGTGTAACGAGTCCCCACTTTGACCTAGAACCAGACTCTCAGAACATCCTGGGCCAAGAAAAAGAACATGAGAAATGAAGCCAATTTTCTTTCCAGGAACTTCGGATCAAGAATTCCAGGTGACCCAGCCTGAGAGTTCAGTTTCAGTCAGAGCTGGAGAGATCTTGACACTGGGCTGCAACGTGTCTGCTCGTTCCCCAGCAGGGCCTGTCTTGTGGTTCAGGGAGAATGGGCAAGAACGAAAGTTAATTTACAATTTCAATGGAGGCAAATTCCCCCGAGTAACCCAAGTGGAAAACACAGAGTTCAACCAGACAGACTATTCCATCCGCATCAGTAACGTGTCGCCCAAAGATGTGGGCACCTATTACTGTGTGAAACTAACCATAGCGCACCCTGACATGTCGTATGTATCTGGTTCAGGAACCGTTGTATCTGTGAATGGTGAGTACAGCTTGACAAACTCCATCCCCTTGGTCTGTAAAAATAAATTTTTTAAAATCTGAAACGTACCAAATCATCACTACACACTAGATTCTGTGCCCCTTCAATCACAAACCACCCTATAAGTTAGGTTCTGCAGATGGCCCTATTAATTAACCATTCTGTGGTCCCATGCCTACTACTAAATTAAGCCATGTTGACAGGCCATGCCCTGCCCTGACGGCCAACTCCACCAAGCCAGTGATGACATATGGCAAGGGAAACTCTCACATAAAAAGGCACCAAGTAGATATAATACAACTACAAGTGTGCACTTTATGATCCAAAAAGTGAGAATATTGAGACCTATGTGGCCTGCTGGCTTTTCTAAGGTCTGGCGGACAATTCTGGAATAAGAGCTCTCCATTGAGTATCTTCTAACCTATGTCTGAGACCCAATTTCCATTCACTGTCTCTTGTAGCCACATCTTATCTTATAGGTTCAGGATTAAATTGTAACACAGGTTAGAGTTTGCCCCCTAAGCCCAATACTTCCTGAGCCAAAGTGAAGGGATCCACAGGTAAGCAGAATCTCTACAAACCTGCCCAAATCCACTCAGCCATTTCTAACTGGAACGTGATTGAGGCCTGGTGGCAGGTCCCTGAAGGGCCACCACAGGGCACTCAGGGACCCCATTCCCCACAGGAAATCAATGAGTGAGTGTGGTCTCCTACTATGGATTCTAGAGAGCCAGGACATCAGAAGGATGGGGATTGATATCACCCACCCCCACATCTTGTTTGGAAAAGCTGTCCTGGAGGAGTTCAGTCACTCTCCTGGCTCTTGATCTTTCCCTGACCTGCCCTGCCCTAGTCTAACCCCAGCTCTGTTGTTCTCTTCTCTGAGGACAACCAGTGTTTGCTACTTCTTGCCACTCTGTGGATTAATGACATTCAATATGTGAGATTAGTGTGTCTATCTGTTCTTCTGGGAAAACTAGTCTTCCTCTGTGATGTTCTCTTCAAGTCCAGCCACATTCCATCATACCCAATGGGCCACGGAAAATTTACATAAGATCCCTCAAGCTAAAAACTGTGAGCATAGGCAGCTTACCCTCCATTTTCTCCCAGCCTCACCAGCCAAGATTTTCTTGTTTCTCTAACCCACACCTTAGCCCATCTTTGCTTTTGATGGTTTGCCTGAAAAGGAGAGAGATTACCAGGACCTGACTAATATGGGGTAGTGATGTTGGTGGTAGTGGGTGTTGGAGATCAGTTTGTGGGCCCTCCAAAATTGATAAGGTCCCTTGAGGTTCTATTCTCTTTTATTTAGAAGAGGAAACTGTCTCTTCCCCCCTCCCACCGACAGATAAGCAGAGGAGCCGCACTCTGCCTACATGAACACAGTAGTCCTAAATGGCTCCCCATTCTCTAGGTTTGCTATCTCTTGACTTGCCCTTTCTCCACACCTCTCAACACTAATATCTCCACAAATTCAGTTAGCTGCTTACCCTTCAGAAGAGATGAAGGTCAATCCCAAACTCCCTATAGCTATGAGGTCAGCAGAGGACGCTTGGACCCATCTCCAAATGTGTTGAGTGATTTTTGGCATTTAGATGGGAGAGGGACTAGTCTCTCTCTATAAACACTATCAATGCATAATCCCAGTCCTCTCCCTCCCTGTTCTCTTCTTTCCCTGGTTAGGGGCTGGGACATGGAATGGGAGAGGTGATACATTTTGTCCACTGCACTGACTCACACACATCATTAAAATAAGTAATGAATGAGGCTCACCCACGATCTGGATCCAAGTTCTTCAGTCCCGCCTGGGCTAGAGCATGGGAAATGGGAAATGATTTTGCATTTCTTTGCAGGAACCACACATGAGATATTCCAGGTGCAACAAGCTGAGATGACACAGACTGTATCAGTTGGAGAGACAATCACCTTGAGTTGCAGTGTACCAGATTCATTCCCAAAAGGACCCGTCTTATGGTTCAAGGGAAATGGGCCAAACCGGGAATTAATCTACAATTTCAAAGAAGGTTTCTTTCCCAGAGTAAAAGAAATTGGACACCCCACCAAAGTTGGCAACACAGACTTTTCCATCCACATCAGTGAAATCTCTCTTGCAGACGCCGGCACTTACTACTGCGTGAAGTTCAAGGAGGGGAAACCTAACACGGAGTTCCAGTCAGGTCCGGGCACCAAGGTGTTTGTGACTAGTGAGTTTGTCTCCTCCACCCCCTATTATGGGCTATCATTTCAGTTAACCAATCCTCTACTCACTGAATTACTAGATTAGGCTATTATTGAAGATGCATTGTACATTTGATCTCTCAGCAACCTGTGAGCTAAGTGATTTACAGGAGGAGAAACAAACTCAGAAAGGTCAATTGAATGATGAGGGATATTTTGGTTGACATTCCAATATTCAATAACCAGCCCCCAAGAGCTAGATGAAACCAGATCACTTCATGACTCCCTACTCATGGTTAACTCAGACAGGAGACTGGCTTAAGCCAATTTGTGTCCATAAGTGAAAAGGACAGACTTGCAGAAAAATCTGGGAAACTAATGCAATTCTCTCTCCTGCTGGCTAGGAACAGGCAATCAGTTTGCCCCAGGTGCTCCAGAGAAACATCTAATGACCATGAGGGGAACCAAGCTGAGGAAAAATCTGCTGTAGAGAAGTGCAAAGATGTAGAGAATGTGGGTTGACAACATTACACGGCCATATTGTTCCTGGTTCCCACCCCACTTCTGGAGCTCCAATAATAGGAGAGAAAACATCTCCTTGTCAAGTCAGTTTTCTTAAAGTCAGCATTGTCCTAAGGGATGCCAGGTGATAAAGTTCCCATATCCACAGAGCACTGAAGTACAATTTCCAACCACTTTTTTTCTGTTCCTAAAGCCTTACTTATTCAATTTTTCTATTTTGTTATAACTTCTGAATTCTGAGCAATACCCAGCTTGAGAAATGATTAAATTCATGATACTACAATACTACTATTTGTTGGGCATCTCCTGTACACGAAGCATCTCCTTCTCCCATATTATTGTATTTACTGGCATAGCAATTTGAGTATAAGAATGATTATCCTTATCATATGAATGAAGAAACTGAGGCTCAAGGTAATTTAGGGGGACAGATACTAGGAGAAAGTGGAAAAGTTGGTCTGGGCTCTCTCCAGCATGCTCTATATATTAGTGAAGAACCTTTCCTTACAAGGGATAAAAATGAAAAATATTAGTATAATGGGATCCTGTAGCTGAGGAGGATTCTAGGTTCCTCACAGCATCCAACACAGAGTTTTAGGACTAAGGTCTCAGGGCCACCAAGACTCTTATTCTTTGAAATTCTCTCATCTCTATTCATCTCTACCTGGCATTTGCTGCATATAGGCCTCATCCATATAATGGAAGAGGTAAGTACAGGAAATGTTGACATTCATTACCTCATCTTAGCAGTTAGGACGGAGAGAGAGCTTCTTATTCCCAGCCTCCACAAATGAATCCCAGAGAGTCATTTGAAATTGCCTTTCCTATGCCTTTCACTTACTCATTATTATAAGGGAGAGGAAGTGCTTGGTAGGGAATCCACCAACCCAATGACACAAATGTTCAACAGACTAAAAACAATATGGTGTCCACCCCACGGTCCAACTCTTCAGGTAACATATGAGGAAGTTGAGACCCAGAGATTGGGTTTGCCTCAAGTTACACAGAGAATGGATAATAGAACTCAGATCTCTTATTCCCATAATCCTTGGGTTTATGGCTTTGTCCTCCTAATGAGAAGACTCTAGTTAGAGTTGGGGGTGTGGAGGTACATGAAGATGAATTAGAGGGAAAATATTGTGAATAAGTTCCATTTACCTGTTAAAAACCAAAGAGTAAGAAATGTATTAAATTTATACCATTTCTACATAATGAATAAAAGGCATATATACATATGGTTTAAAATACTGAGCTAAGTGTGTTTGCTATGGTTACTGTAACTAATTGTCACAAACTTTGGGGTTTATAACTGGAATGGTCCTATGCAGATGGTATGACAGTGAGAGAACTTCCATGTGTCTACTCCCAGATACTGGCGAAAATTATTGTTTTCATATCACTTAGAGTAGTGACATCAGTAAAATGACAGACTAAGAAGTCCCCAACCCTTCTTCCATGGAGACAACCAAATAACAACCATCTGTGGACCAAAATACCTCTGTAAGAATGCTAGAAACCAACTGAGAAGCAGTGGTACCTAGCCCAATGGAAAACCAGGCAGGGATTCCAGTGAAAGCTGCAGGAAAGTTCGCAGAGCTTTGTACACTCATATGTCACCCCCAGCCTGGTGTACTGGCACAATTAGGAGGAAACCTCTCATACCTGCTCCCTCCTCAAGATAGAAACAGAACAGACTGTGCATCAATCTGGATTGTCTGGGGACTGCCTGAGGGGATGGTTTCTGTCTCATGATTCAGAGCACTAGTGAGAACAGCAGAGGTTAGAAGTGCAAATAATGAATCATGGAACACTACATCAAAGACTAATGATGTACTCTAATAAAAAAAAGAATTTTAAAAAATGCTGAAAAAGAGATCTCTGTTGTAGTGGCTCAGAGCTATAGATATTATGCAGTTCCAAAAGATGGCACCAGGGGGCATAAGAGATTGCGATCTCCTACGAAGAAAATGCAAGCTTCTTAGGAATTTGAGACAGCTAAAAAAAAAAAAAAAAAAAAACATACGAATTGAGCATTATATCAAAAACTAATGATGTACGATACCTTGGCTAATTGAATTTAAATTAAAAAATTAAAATACACACACAAAGACCGTATCTTCAACAAATGGTGTAGGGAAAACTGGACAACAACATGCAGAAGAATGAAACCAGAACACCTTCTTACACCATACACAAAAATAAATTCAAAATGGATGAAAGATCTAAATGTAAGCCAGGAAACCATCAAAATCCTAGGGGAGAAAACAAGCTAGCCACCTCTTTGACCTCAGCTACAGCAACTTCTTACTAGACACGTCTCTGGAGGCAAGGAAAACAAGAGCAAAAATGAACTATTGGGACATTATTAAGATAAAAAGCTCCTGCACAGTGAAGGAAACAATCAACAAACCTAAAAGGCAACCAATAGAATGGGAAAGGTAATACCTAGAGGGTATTATGCTAAGCAAAATAAGTCAGAGAAAGACAAATATCATATTACTTCACTCATGTGGAATTTAAGAAAAAAAAAACAGATGAACACAGGAAGGGAAGGGAAAATAAAATAAGATAAAAACAGAAAGAGAGGCAAACCATAAGAGACTCTTAGTTATAGAGCACAAACTGAGGATTGCTGGAGGGGAGGTGAGTGGGAGGATGGGTTAAATGGATAATGGGCAGTAAGGAGGGCATTTCTTGGGATGAGCATTGGTGTGATATGTAATTGATGAATCCCTAAATTCTACTTGTAAAACCAATACTAGACCATACGTTAACTAACTTGAATTTTAGGAAACGGTCAACAAAACTAAAAAGCAACCCATGGGATGGGAGAAGATATTTTCAAATGACACTACAGACAAAGGGCTGGTACCCAGGATCTATAAAGAACTTCTCAAACTCTCAACACCCAAAAAACAAATACTCCAGTCAAGAAATGGGCAGAAAACATGAGCAGACACTTCTCCAAAGAAGACATACAAATGGCCAACAGACACATGAAAAATATTCAACATCAGTAACCATCAGAGAGATTCAAATCCAAATCACTTTGAGATACCACCTCACACCAGTCAGAATGGCTAAAACTAACAAGACGGAACAAGAAACATCGGCAAGGATGTGGAGAAAGGGGAACCCTCTTACTTGGCGGGGATGCAAGGTGGTGCAGCCACTCTGGAAAACAGCATGGAGGTTCCTCAAAAAGTTGAAAATAGAGCTACCCTAACACCCAGCAATTGCACTACTGGGTATCTATCCTAAAGATACAAATGTAGTGATCTGAAGGGGCACAAGCACCCCAATGTTTATAGCAGCAGTGTCCACCATAGCCAAACTATGGAAAGAAGCTAGATGTCCATCAACAGATGAATGGATAAAGAAGATGTGATATATATACAATGGAATACTATGCAGCCATCAAAAAATGCAAAATCTTACAATTTGCCATGATGTGGATGGAACTAAACAGTATTATGCTTATAAGTAAGTGAAATAAATCAGAGAAAGACAATTCTATAATCTCACTGATCTGAGGAATTTGAGACTCAAGACAGAGGATCATAGGAAAGGAGGGGAAAATGAAACAAGATGAAACCATAGAGAGATACAAACCATAAGAGACTCTTCATCTCAGGAAACAAACTGAGAGTTGCTGGAGGGGAGGGGGGTCAGAGGGATAGGGTGGCTGGGGGGTGGACATGGGGGAGGACATATGCTATGGTGAGTGCTGTGAATTGTGTACCCCTGAAACAAATAATACATTATATGTTTATTTTTAAAAAGGGTCTGCAGAGCTCTCTGGGGTCTCTCTTATAAGGCATTCATCTCATTCATAAGGGATCCATTCTCATGACCTGAACACCTCCTAAAATCCCCACCTACTAATACCACGATCTTTGGGGAGTTCAACAAATGAATCTGGGGTAGGATGCAAACATGTTTTTTTCAAATGCCCAAATCTAAAATAAAATTTTTTTAAAAAGCAAAAAGCATACAAAGAACCAAGAAAGCATGACTCCATGAAATTAAAAATATAAAACTGGAGGTTTGCAAAAGATGTCTGAGGAACAGTGTAGGAGATAAGGGCCCAGGGAAGAGGGCCGTGTCTGATCTCACAGGGTCAACTATCGAGGCCCCCTGCTCCTCCCCAAGCAGAGCACAGATGCTGGCACAAGTGGACACTTGGAAAACCTGCACTCACTGACTGAACAGACACATGGATGTGCTTCCCACAGCTGCTCCCTTCCTGACACTGGGGGAACTTCAGTCTCTGTTGTCCCCTCCCCTCTGGAGGAACTCCCCCAGGAAAAGCCATGGAGGTCTGAGGAACAACACATATCCCCACTCCCTGGGCACCTGCCCTCCACACACCTGTCCACCCCATAGCCCCCAGGGAGGGGTCTCAGGACAAGGGCTGGAGCAGCTGAGTAGGAGACCTGGGGAGGGGGGACACTCATCCCACCTCCCTAGGGAGGGAGAACAAGGGGTCCTGAGTCCCACTCTCCTATCTAAGTTCTCTTGAGCTCTGCTCATTTCCTTCTCAGCCCAGCTCCAACTTCTCCACCTTGGCAGGGAGGGGGGTTAAATCTGTATAAAGGGCAGAAACATTTTACAGCATTCT